AAAATATTGATTAGTAGCTGTGATTAGTAGCTGTATTGAGAGATAAATACAAATGGTTAGTAAATTCAAATGGTTAAAAGTGGCAGCCAGGCACTTGGCAGCCAGGCACTGCTCTGCTTCTGGCAAATTCTGGCAAATGGGAGACAATTCCCTCTTTTTTTTTTTTGCAAGATGTGTAATTCTACAAACGCAGGCGAACAAAAGGCAGGGCCATTGTCCGTTTTTAAAGAAGGGTGTAAAGAGCAAAGTTGCAACATAAAAATACTTGAAACAGCAACAACAACTACACAAAAACAACAACAATGTCCTTCTTCCCTTTAAAAGCTGAGAAGGGGGGGTGTAAGATAGGAATCTGGAAAGGAACAAAGCTGAAGCTGAATTTGATCTTGGGCTGAGAGTGTGTGACTAGTCACACTGTCTGGTAACAAAAGCAAATAGAGACATTTGAGGCAGAGTTAGAACAGACAGACAAGAGAACAGATCTGATCCTATTTCCTCTGAACATATAGAAAGAGCCAAACAAATTGAGAGGGGACACCAAGCGGCATTATTGCAAAGCAAAGGAAAGAACAAATAAGTTTTGGAAGAGAAAGGAGGAACACTCCTGACCATGTCTATAGTTTTAGCACTGTGTCTTTCAGCTTTAGAGCAGACACTCTTGAGAAAGAACTAGGGTCAGCAATGCAAAGCCTGTTTTACACTGAGGATTTGGAGAGCTTGTAACATAGATAGTCTCTAGGCATGTGAAGAGTGCAGGAAACAGAAACAAAAGCAGCTGCAGCTCAGAAAATACAAGGAGCGCTGTGAGATGGTATCACTCACAGCAAGTGAGAAGGTAGTAAAGGAAGCATTAAAAACCAGATAGACCATGCTAGTAAGGGTCTCTCTCTAGGAAACAAGGCAGTAGTGAAAACAGCATAAACATATATAAAAACAAGTCACAGACCCAAGACACATTAACAGACAGACTTTGGGTGTTTCCAAATCACTTAAACAAATACACAAACAATTGGCTGGGGCTGATTTCCTTTCTTGTTGGTAACTTTCCAAATAAGACAAGGACAGCCTGCAGGATGATGGGATTTGCAACCTTCTCTGGCAATGATGCCTGGTGTCTTAGAGGGCAGTTTCTAGAAGTGCCTTTCGAGGGCTCTCAGCTCTGGTGAGCATTGGGGAAATGGGTTGAGACAGTGTGCCTCACATCCATGGTGGGGGAAAAGGAAGCTGAGACAGTGTGACCCATCTCCACTACCTTTTCTAGGGAGCAGGGGCTTGGCCTTCTACATCTCCCTGTTCCATTTCA